TCAGCCCATGCATGTAACTGCCATTTAGCTTTACGGTCCTTCAGCATCGGGGGAAAACAACAATAATTATACAAAACACGTTGCGAAGACTCAACAATCAGGAAAGAAACCCCAGACAACCTTGTCGTACTTGTGTTGAAATACATTTTGTCAGCTGTTCAACATCTATAAAAAACAGAAAGACAATTATAAGACAATGTGAACCTCGGAAATTATTCTGTTAGTCCAAATTTTAAATGCGCGCGCGCGAGCAGGTGGGCGGTGATATTTCGGGGTTTGCGCGGTCGAAAAAAAAGCGGAAATTGTCCGGTCGAATTCAACAAGCGGTCGCAAAAGCGATAGAAAAAGGTGATTGGAAAGCGGAAGCGGGCGGGCGGTTGTGCGAAAGGAGTACTGTAACTTTACACAACTTTCTTTTAAATCGTTTTATTTTCCAAGTCAATATTCTATTTTACTAATACATTTTTTTTCTAACGCAATGGCGAAGAAAAGAAAGAAAGCGTTGACAGACGAGGCAAAGAAAAATCTGCCACTCAGTGTCGCACTTTGACACAGCAATTTTTTTTCAAACATCGGCCATTTTATTTCACAATAAAAACCGTTTTATTAGATGTCTTATCTGAGACACTTGAAGGATTAGTTTGTTTGTAAACTGTCAGCGTGTACAGTGGGACAGTAATGTTTGTCAGAGGATTTGCATAACAATGGAAAATCCGAACGTTCCTGGAGTACGGACTCAAATGCCAGCAGTTTTCTTCATTTTTCGCGCTCGAGCTTGAAATTATTCATTATCTGACACTCTTTATGAGTTCTATGATATCAGTGGTTAATATGTTTGGCCATTTTTAGTGTATATTTATAATAATGCAGCAAATCTACAGTGTTTTATTAACCAAAACTGTTTTTCGCGTTTTTCTCGAGAACGACTCATTGGGACCGCCGCCAAATCAAGTGCGTTCGGACTAGGACATTCAAACTCGCAGTTATCGTTCAAAAGATAATGATGGTGCGAAATATGTCTGGGTTTTTAAAGAAAATGCTTTGTCACAGAATAATAGTCTGTTAAAGGTGCCAAGTATGAAATAATTTGGGGACAAAAAAACAAACCTGCATAGAAATCGGAATAATAGGTCTTTTGATCATCGGAGACGCATTTCAATGGACTTGATTACGGACAATGCATAACTTAAATTTCACCAGGAAATTCCGCAGTGTGCTCTCGCAATCGCGTACTTAGTCATTTTTACAAGGTTCACCATTTTTTATGTCACGTGATAATTATGTAAACAATGTCTGTCCAGTTCGTGCGAACTTGCACCTCTATACTCAGTCTTTTGATATATATAACCTAAATTACTGTTCTGAACGAAACAGATAGAGAATGTTTTATTTAAAAACGTCACAAAACCTTCTCGCTACCTTAACCGACTAAACAAAAGCATCGTGTGTCATTGCAGCCGAGTCATTTGCCGCAACCTCATTTTTCTTGTGATAAGACGTGAATTAAAAGTGTCAAGCTAACAGACAGCAAAATTCATGGTAAATTAAACTTTGTGGAAGAGTCGGTAATATCAAGTTTAATATTTCTATATTAGTATTCGCAAACATCAATAGTCTGGTACACTGAAACTATTTGAAAAAAAATACATGACCTTTCAAATATAAAAATTGTAATTTTTTGGTAACTATGAATAATGATGAATTAGTAGAGAACAATATTTTCTAAAAATAAAAATGTTTATAGACACTTTCAATACTGGTACTGAAAATAGAAAATTTCGGGAGGTATGTCATTTTTCATACCTAGATAGCATGTTGGTGCCGCAAAGCAATTAAAATTCTAAGTCATTCAGTTTGTTTTCAGGAAAATTCATAGAATATATATGTATAAGGAACAGAGGTACATTACTTGGGGTTTGCAACTCGCTTAGTACTCTAAGGTGACATCATGTCAAGATCCAAGTCTCTTCTCGTAGATAGCGAGACTGAGGCTACGACCTTCTGACATGACGCATATTAATGTTCAAGGTTTGTAATGAAAAAAATAAACTTTTCTCGTCACTATCATAGTGAAAATGTAATACATCGAAAATGTACAGAAAATATAGTTCTCGTAATACGTCATATCGTGGGCAGCTATTTTGATCCACCTGGACATCCCAGTATCCTAGTTACCTTGGGCATGCGCATTCGCATTTTTTCTGAGTTGGAACGCTTATGCGAGAGCGAGATTGTGACGGGATCTTGGTATCATGTCACCGTAGTTACAAACCCCAAGTAATGTACCTCTGAAGGAATTAATAAACACTGCAGTAATTACATGCACATCTTCATAATTTAAGATTGAAATCAATGGCTAATAATTTGCATTTAACAAAAAAAATGAATTCATTTTAAAATAATTTTAACAATAAAATAAAGTTCTTTTGTGTGTTCAAGACAAGTTGAATCTAATTTATGTGACTCTTTAAGAAAGTAATACTCAACAGTCAGATGAAGAAAACAACTTCACAATGAACACCATTGGATCAATTAAATTGAATACTCTTTTCTGGTCATCGGTAGACTGAAGTACAAATCCTACCTAGGTGTTGGACCAGGACAGCGCATTAAAATGACAGGAAGACTGTCACACACTCCTAACTAGAATATGGTCTTTGCAAGTGCATTTTGCCACAGATAGAAAAGCCAGGAGAGACAACAGTAACATTTAATGTCTGAAATTGTCGCCTGGCACAAAAATATTTAAAAAAAAGAAAAAAAATACTGTATTCATCACCACAGTATTAATATTTGATTGTCCTTCCCACCACCAGAAATATCTTCCCCCCCATCATGCCTCATTCCAACATGGCCGCCCCTTCACCTCCAGTGGCATCTTCACTGATATTCAAATCCTCTAACATTTCTTGTAAACTGATTTTCGGTGCATCATCGTCATCACTTGATTCAACTGGTATACTCTTATTACGATCTGCAGTGGCACAAACAAAACAGTCATATAATCAGTATTCTACTATCAAAAGCTTTAGATTTGGTGAACAATTATAGAGTGATCATTAAAATGCACTTGATTGAGAATCTGTGTATAGAGATACATTCACAATTGATTCATTATTATCTAATCTATGATAAGTTTGAGCAGTAGGTAAGGGTTTTATAAAGGCGCAAGTTACATACAATCAAGATACAATTTCCACCACATTAAATTAAATTGCAACCTTATACAGAAATTCAATTTAATTTAAAATTAACATTTAGGGTGGCCATATTGACCATAAATTTGATCAAATAATGTGAAGTGAAACTAGTGCAGTAACAAAAAATATTAACAGAGCAACCCAGAATTGTTACTACAAAGTGTAACTAATGTCTGTGTTGTCACTTTTGGTGCGTACATTGTCATGACACATCACTGATCACAGACAGGTAAGTTCATGTCTAATACAGTTCTGTTATCAACATAATAAAGTTGGAGTGAAGAGGCCGAAAGTACATGGATACTCAAAATTCAGAATGAATTCAATATTCTTTGATGTTTGGGATACAGAATATTATAAGCTTAAAATAGTTAATGTACATATTCAACTACACACACAGAATACAATTTATTTTGGGCAAACTGCTGCAAAGAACATGATGAAACAAGTTGGTATGCAAATAAGCTAATGAATATTCAGATTAATGCATGTAGTTTTAATGCATGTGTGTAGAAATACAAGGTACATGCTGTACATCATGATGATGATTATGCAAATTACTTAAATATTTAAACATAGATTGGTACCAAAAACTAATCAGGTCTGGAGTTCAAATATCTGTGCACGAAATTGAATTTCAATCCATTGTTTTTTGAAATATTAGTGAAACAAGAGACGACACACAATCCATCCATAAGGATAGATATTCATGCTCTGCACTCAGTACATAACCTAAAATGGAAAGTCAACCTACCCATATAGATATTCGTGCTCTGCACTCAGTACATAACCTAAAATGAAAAGTCAACCTACCCATATAGATATTCATGCTCTGCACTCAGTACATAACCTAAAATGGAAAGTCAACCTACCCATATAGATATTAACATGCTGTCTGTACTCTGGATCATCTTCAAGATCTTCCAGAAATTCTGAATAATCCCTGAAGAAGAAGAACAAGTAGTTTGTTAGTCATTACATTTGTTTTACGAAAGAAATATATTCCAAACGAAGAAATTATTATAAACACGTGTAATACCTAAGTACCGGTAGTACCTAATTCATTTGTTTGTTGAGTTAAACTTCTTTATGGATAATTAATCATATGTGATTGATTAGTTACGTGTCATTTACGAAAGACAAATAGATTGTCTAAGATGCAATCAAGAAAAAAATCAACTTTTGCCAAGTTTGCCACAATTTGTATCAAATACGTTATAAAAAAAATACACAAAAACTGTAAAATGTTGAATACTTCGTTGGAAAAAAATTGACACAGATCTCACCTTTCCATCTTGTCGTCATCCAAAGCATCAGAATGTTTCGACATTTGTCGTAGTTTCCAATTTCTTCGTAGCTTTCTCTTCTGTTTATCGTACGATTTTTTAACTAATATCTTAAAACACAAAAAAAACCAATAGATTGGGTAACAACCAGTGATTTGTAAAAACCAATGTGCACTTGCACTGTTAATATTTGTTTTAGACTTTATTTGAGGTCTTGTTTGGAGGGAAAAAGCCACCTGAATTGTTTTTTTGTCCCCCCCAAATAGCATCAACAGTTCCTCTGACCTATTCATGACTGTAGGGCATTCATGTATTGTGCAACTAAACATTGAAAGTTACTGGTGATAGATTCTTGCCAAAGTCATATTCATTTCAGACCACACTGTTGCTATGAGTGTGAAGACAGCGTTTGGTTTGATTCACGTACGATTGAAATACCCATAATTCACTCAAATGTTGATATATAGCAATTACAGCTAATTTAACAATATTTTTGTGCGGGAAAAATAGAGATAAATTTAGTATTTTCCGTGGAAATCAAGGTTATAAATACTTTCATAGTGCACATGACAGTTCTGCGAATGTGTGAATGGTCAAAGGACAATGATTATTAATAAAAACATCATCAACGTCGTTGTTTCAAAGATTTTATTTGTTTTTTAAATAGAGTGGTGATAATTTGAGACTATATAATTTTTTACACAAGATTTCTCGTCTGTTTCTATGGCTATTTTAGACTTGCTTGAGCCCACGTGACTTCTGATGTGAGCGAGACTGTAGGACTATTTATAACCATGATTTTCTCAACAACAAAAAATAGATTGATCCCTATTTTTCCTACACAAAATATTCTATATATGAACTTTTGTGTAAATTATATTTCAATTTGTACGTCAATCGAACATGAATCGTACGCGAATCGGCGAACGCTGTCTTCACACTCGTAATATTGCTCAACAATGTAAACAAATATGTCCTTATGTTAACACGAAGTAAAGTAACATAGCTATAAATGGTTTCACAATGAGTTTCACTGTGCTTCAGAGCATGAAAGTCCAATAAACTTTCATGGCAAAGTTGACAAGTCATTGTCAATGATATAATTCCTGTCCAGTTTTAAGTGACTGTCAACATTAGTATCATATATATGACCAGATGTGTGAATGTTTGAACTTGATTGGTTCAGACATGTGTGAGATATGGCTCTGTGGAACTGCATATGTTTGAACAAGATGACCACCAGTCAGCCATTTTGGATATTATGGTGAAGTACAATGATGTCTGCTGTACATGCTTGTGTGAAATTTGATCTTTATCAGTCCAGGCATGTCAGATAAGTGGATCCAGCACTGCATTACTTGAAACAAAAGTGCATCAAAGTGCATAATGTGAGTTTGAACAAAATTTGTCCAGGTACAAGTGAGGTCTGGTTCGGAATGGTGAAAATGTGTGATTTTGGCCTTTTTTGGCCTTAGAACAGCTGCAAACAAGTCATCTTGAATGAAATCCTGAATTCTGGAAGTGATTGTGTCTATGACCATGTAAGGGAATTTATGTAAATTAAATTAAACTTACCACATCAGGTAGGCGCTCAGCTTTTACTTTGTCAAAATTTTGATCATTGACATTGGCATTCAGGAAATCAAAACCTAAAACTGTGTCACCAGGATTTAATAAATGTCCAAGATGTGTACGAGTGTGAAACTGAGCATCATTTATTCCCAAGTCTTGTGACCTGGCCACCCAGACATCAGCCAAAATGTGCTGAAAGAGATGAAGAATGCATTAGGACGCAATCTAACAGCTCAAAGTAATCAAAGAAAGCTTAGAAAGAACTCCCATGTGCTGAGAGTATTGGCGACACATTAAATATAATTTGAAATTACTTAGCTGAAACTAATTATGTAAATCAGAAAATTAATATGAACAGATTTGAGTGTAAAACTAATGAGGTCTGCGCAATGTAACAAAACAATGTAACAAGTTTAATTGAAATGTGATAATTAGTACTTGAGATACCCTTAGAAAAGCTGAACATTAATTATGCAAATTAGGTGATTAATATGCACAAATATTTATCCCAAACAATCAATCTCTGCATAGTCCTTGAGTATGTAAGTACCAAGTTTCATTGAAATGTAATGCTCACTACTTATATCAAAAACTGAAAATTAGTTAATTATGCAAATTAGGTAATTATATGTACTGATATTACCATAAAAACTATCAGGTCTGTGCAGTGTCATATGACATCTATGTACCAAGTTTCATTGAAATGTGATGATTATTACTTGAGATATCAGTGGAAAAACCGAAAATTTACTAATCATTATGCAAATTAGGTAATTAGTATCCACGGATTATTACCAAAAACTAATCAAAACCTAGCATTAGATCAGAACATCCATGTACCAAGTTTCATCAAAATCCAATGAGTGGTTGTTTAGATATCAGTGGAACAGTCATGAAACCACTAAAAACAAGCTAATTATCATGCAAATTAGATAATTAATATGCACGGATTTTCACCAAAAACTAATCAAATTTGCGCATATGTTCAGAGCATCTATGTACCAAGTTTCATCAAAATCCAATGAGTGGCTCTTTAGATATCAGTGGATCATTCATAGAACAGCTAAAAATTAGCTACATGTAATTATCATGCAAATTAAATAATTAACGAGCATGGATTTTTACCAAAACCTAATCAAATCTGCACATTGGCCCAGAGCATCTATGCACCAAGTTTCATCAAAAACCGATGTATGGTTCTTGAAATAGCAGTGGAACAGTCGGACACACATACACACACACACACACAGACACACTAACTGCAAAGACTCCCATTATGTGCTTCACACATGGGAGTCAAAAATTGATTGGTGATGAAGAACACCCTCTAGCAACTTGAAGGAGAGCGCCCTCTAGCAACAGAATTTTCTGTTACGAAAACAGCCTCTAGTAACTCAAAACAAAAAACTTTGGTGGAAACAAATTGTTGCTTGTTCATCACAAAAATATCACTTGATCTGGATTATTTTTTTCAGATGCAAGAGCATGCGTGCATCTGATTAAGAATTTATATAAATATTTTTGCTTACAGACAGACTGCATGCATCATCAAAGAGGGCATGAACTTTAATAATGAGCAAAATAAACGTTTTTCAAATTTATATTCGTCATACTATTAGTGTGAAATGTAATAGAGTGGTTGCTATGACAACCTGACATACTTTATACGACTTTGCACCTTGACCTTTCTGATGTCTCATATCCTTCATTGCGATTGGTTCAATTTGTAATACAATATACTCTGTTAAATTCTTCAGCTCACAAAGACTGTTAAAAGGAGTTCTCCAGTAGACTGGGGCTGTCACATCGGCAACTGTAGACGAAAGATAAAAACAGCTGGCTGTAACGCTATTAAGCACACATAATTTTTGAATCTGTGATATGACATGGTGACACGATAGTCTGTAAGTTATTACTGATATTGCTTCACTAGAATCCCTGTGTATTTGCAGAGCGTATACTGCTTGTGTTTGACAGCGATAATCGTGCTAATTTCTGTTTACACCTTCTAACCTTACAAAGCATTCAGTCAAAAGTCATTGAAAATCGCATAGAGAGGTCACACAGAAAGAGTTCTTCATCACATGTAACAATTGTATCCTCTTAAGCAAAAAAAAAAAATTTCTTTTCTTCATTGCATTGAAACCTGTGCCTCATACATTAGTTTTTCGCAATATTGCATGCTAGTGAAGTGTGCCATCTATGATAGATTTGAGAAATGTTGGTTTTCTGTTTCAGACGATGTTTTGTGGATACAACGTTTAATGCACATATTCGAAAGCATTATTTAATAAATGTTAAAGGGTGGTGGTCGTCGCGCTGTGTATGTGTGACATTTGCGATGATAAACATTTATTTTCCCACAATCTAATGTGCTTTTCTGACGGAAATCTTGAGTACGAGTTTGACCTGGGCGTAATTTGCACTAATTACTCTTGATGACTCGTTCGATACCTTCCAATCACCAAAGAAATGACATAGTTAAAGTTTAGCAACGTCTCAGTTTTTATTCGTTGGTATGCGCAATAGTCAAAGTCGCCACCTTTGTTCTTACGAGTCCCATATTTTCTGCATGCATGGCGCGACGACCACCGCCCATTAAATATTGAATTGAACGTCTAGTTGGGGTATTAAAAAAAAATTAAAACCACATCACATCATAACTTTTCAATATTCCTTATGATACGCAGAAAAAAAATTTTTTCATGGCCTAATCTTAAAATTCGATGATGAAAATTATTTACAATTTCAATACTCACTTTGTAAACTTGTTGGGTCTATTATATGTATTAGATTAGATACACGTTGACATAAACATATCTGACCAATGTTTCCCAATGACTGCGCCAACTTTGGTGGCAAACATACAATATTATCCTATAAAGTAACAATGAACAAAAGTGTTAAATCACTGAGAACCGTGAATCATTTCTCTTAACACTTGATGCCATCAATACTATGGGGCGTAATAAAGCAGACATTTTTTAACAAATTTTGGGTCAAAGATAATTGTTAAAGCGGGTAGTAGTGACAAATTATAGTTTGATTATTGTGCCTTTTCGTCTACTCCAACAATTGAAAACAGCATTTTTCCACAGTTTCCACACAAATGAGCTTTCAAGACTTTCCTAACACCGTAAGCAAGACAATTCTGGCCTAGTTTACTTCATCTACCGGTACTTTTTTTTGCAATCTTTACATTTACATTATTACCCTTTTCACCACCAGTACCCTTCATCACAAATTGACAAAATAGTCCCGTTTGCACTTTCCTTCAGAAAATTGGGACAAAAAAGCCAAATTTACTCAAATTTTGTTTGCTGGCACCAAAAATAGGCTTCATTTCAAGAAATATTGAAGAATATGTGAAAAAAATTTGGTCGAGAAAATCTGGTGGTGAAAAAGTTAAATGACTTACAGGCATTCTACAAAAAAATTATTTTTGAAAGTACGTCTCCAAGTTCAAATGCCAACTTTAATAACTAAATTTACTTCCTGTAATAACTTTGATCAACTTTTTTGATTAAAATGTAAAAGCCCGTTTTAATCAAAATTAACCACAGGTCCACCAGAAGCGGGGTTTATATTCCTTCTTTCTATTACTATCCCTTCATATTGACAACAGAGACTCACCTTACATATTGGAACAATTTCCACGGAGTAGGTCGTTTTATAGTTATAAGTATTATTGTGAGTATCGTGTGAAATCAAACGTTGCGATGTCTGGTATCTAGAAACGAACAAATACTGTTACATATAAAAGAATCACATGTAGTTCAAAGAGCACAAATAGAGCAGTATTATTTGCTAGATTGCTAATCTGACTAGCCATATCTTCTAGTCAGCTTCTGCTGTTGCCTTGGAAGTACAATAATAGTGTAGTCTGTGATATATGAAGTGCGCCCTCAATGGGTGATTGCTACAGAGGGTACAGAATTATATGGACAACTATAAAAACTTGTATCCTTCCAGTAAACTTAAATATGTTTATAGCCCTGAGAAGTTTTAAAAATGTTGTGGTGATTGCGCTTTTTCCCCCCTTTATACAATAATTTGGAAGAAGCCAGAGACAAAAAGGGTAAGTTGAGCAAAAACAAGAAATTATTTTTTAGAAGAAACATTAGTGAAAGCAAGGGTTCATAATTATGAGTCATATCAGAGGTACTTGGGGTTTGCAACGCGCATAGTACTGTATGGTGACATCATCCCAAGATCCCATTCAAGTCTCATCCACATTCATAGTGAAAAAATGTAATACATCGAAAATGTACAGAAAATATAGTTCTCGTAATCCGTCATATCGTGGGCAGCTATTTCGATCCACCTGGACATCCCAGTATCCTAGTTACCTCAGGCATGCGCATTCGCATTTTTCCGAGTTGGAACGCTTATGTGAGAGCTAGATTGAAACGGGATCTTGGTATCATGTCACCGTAGTTGCAAACCCAAAGTAATGTACCTCTGGTCATATATATGGACAGAACAAAACCACTAAACAAACAGTGTTCAAATGAACCGAAAAATGGATCAACCGTACACTGATCGAGTGTGCCACTAACTCAATGTGGAGGCTAAAAAATACTGGCTGAGTTGCATCCACTACCAAATAACATAGTTGAACTCTGGTGACCTTGCCCTTTGTTATATAATATAATTCCCTTTAACATAGTTTGTTTCAATATAAATATACATTGTCATAATTAATTTTGAATACAAACAAGTTTTGGGGTTGAACTAACAGTGGGGAATCAGTCTACCGAATGTCCTTTAAAGATGTAAATATCTTACAAAAACATTTGTGCCTTATTTGTTTATTTTAAGGGACATAATTTCCAGCTTTATTCAAAGTAATTCAGATATTTTAGTATAAAAACAAATGCCTCATTGCAAAAAAAAAGTGCTGCATTTAGACGTGAATAGATTCATAAAACATGCAAGATAACAGAAAATCTTAGCTGGCTTTTGTCCAAGTATTTTGTACAGGTGTCTGTCAAAAATTAATGATTCACTGAGACAAATATGAAC